TATGTATAGTATATGATTTGTTCTTTATGTATAGTATATGATTTCGTCATTATTACAAATTGATTTTTGTAATATGCAAACTTATCGATGTTTTATTTGTTTATTTTAAATAACTCATTAAATTACAGATTCATTTTTTTTTTATTTAACTATTTTATGTTACTGGCATTCTTACGTGCTAATACCCTTGGAAAAGGTATGAATCCTCTTCTTCTCCTCTAAGCTATGGTTAGATAGCAGGACAGACCGGGTTCTATAGCCTTGGATGGCAACTTGTCTACGGCAGAAAGAAATGGCAACCTACTGCGGTAAAAAAAAAATCTGCCTCGTCAGTCATGTATCGCCTAAGCGTGTATCACGCATAGCACAAAACTGAACTATATTTAATTAGACATGTATATATTTTTTTAGGCAAAGCGGGCCACTGTTCGAGCTTGTAGCAGTATTTGCCTAAAGACAAGCTTTCCCTGATGGAAAAAAAGACATAGGTTCGATTCCTGTTGGAGGCATACGTTTATTTTAGTAGAACTGTGCACAATCGCGGTCAGTTGACATTGATTTCACTCTTAAAAAACAGAAATGTGAACTCAAACACGTATACTGACTAAAAATAGTGTTTATACTAATAAGAAATAATATCAGTTGGGAAAAAAACTCTTCAATATATATATATATATATATATTTGTGTGTGTATATATATATATATATATATATATATATATATTGAACAATAAAAAAAATTAAAATATTAAAAACTTCAGGCACACTGGGTTGTATATTAATATTCCTTCGTTTTTATTATTATTTCATTTAGATTCCTCGACTAGTTTCGGCCAACATGGACATCATCAGGAGAAAAATAATTTTATGCTTGCTGGTAGTAGTGAACTGCAGAAATGAATGTCTTGATGGAGAAAATGAACTTTTGTCTGTAGTTTTCATTTGTTTTTTTTAATTTTTTTAATGTGAATTTTGGTCAGTCTTTGTGTTGGTTAAACAGTCTCTTTTAAGTTATTATTTGAGACAAGAGCTGGATGGATTCATGCTGCTCCTATATATATATATATATATATATATATATATATATATATATATATAGGGTATCCGAAAAAATTTGACATCATTTCACAGTCCAATAATTTTGGCAATTCTTGTGCAAATAAATTCAAATTTTCACAGAATGTATAGAACAGATCAAGATTTTAGATGTAATGTTTTATTTTTGTTATCTCGATCAGAATCTGCCAGAGAGACGGATCGGGCGTTTTCTGATGAAATGACCGCTGCGGTCGCCGGACTTGTCCCCGTATGATTTCTTTTTATGGGGATATGTGAAGGGGCTGGTCTATGTCCCTACCCTCTTCTTGCTAGCATTGATGAACTCAAGCAGAGAATCACTTCCGCACTGGGTAATATTACCGTAGACATGCTACAACGTGTTGGGCAAGAGCTTAACCACCGACTTGATGTGTGCCGTGTCAGAGGTGCTGCACATATTGAATATATCGGTCCCCTAATAAACTTATAACGTTCAACATCTAAACTGTTAAATTTCATTGAGCTAGACATCGTAGTTTTCAAGATAATTGCTTTTAAAATGATGTCAATTGTTTTTTTGAACACTGCATATATGAATAAAGACAAAAGGTAAACTTATTTTAGCCGTCGCATTTATGTCTAATTAACAAAAGTGAGGACATGATGTTGTTGAATTAATTTTCTATAATGCACTTAATATTTAAATAATTAATAATTATATAAAAACTTCAACAGCAACATCATTTACTCACTTTTGTTTTTTAGGCTGTTGAATATTCATGAGCTTTTGTTAAATTGAAAAAAAAATTGAATAACTAACAAAAAAAAGTAGGTAGTTTCGAACCTTCGTTATATCTGACGTAACGATGAGAGCACTGATTACTCGAATATTCAGGCCGGTAGACGAAAATAAAAAAAAAATATATTGTTTAATAAATAAACGAAGCGTCTACTCAAATACGAGTATACACCAAAACTAACGTTTAAAGTGATATATATCATAAAGTTATCCACATACAGATCTGTTTCGCTATATCACAGCTCACCAGTGTGGCTAGACATCCGATTACTTCAAGCTCATCAGTGTGGCATCAGTCGGAGTTTCTACTCCTGAGCTATCAGCGCACGGTAGAGGGGAAAGAAAATTTCTAGCGCATTATTTTTTTTACGAATGTAAACAAACGCCCGGCAGCCATCGTGCTGGATTCATTTCTCTTTCCCCTATTATAGGCATTATTATATCCGTGACATAATAACACCGTAATTCGTGGACGGCACGGAATGGTTAAACGGAAAAAGAAATGACAAACATACTTTGTTTTCAGAGAGACTTTTATATCAGATACATATATGCACATCTTCCAAACGGAGAATAATATATCACATATATCTACACAGCAAAGCAAAGTATACGTTGGAACAAAATGGAAGAGTTTTACATATAATATGGAGATACTCCCGTGTCTGGAGAAGTCATTTTTAGGGCGCCAAATTCAAATCAGTCGGATACATCTATGTCTTAGCAAAGAACATACTCCATGAACGGGAAACAGCGAGTCTTGGGTTTTCCCAAATTGAGGACTTCCGGTTGGAAGTTTCTTTCTATATTTGGGAAAATATAGTCCGAAAGGGAAGCGGAACCACGGACTTGTAAGCTGCTGAAGGAGGCAGATTTAGCCTTAGCCTTGGACGAAGTGCTCAGACTAAAAGAAAGCAAACTCACGTGGTAGCTGTTGTAAAGAAACTTAATTTGACTGCCGCTTTCGTCACTGTATGAAGTGGCGTCATTAAACGCTCAGTCAAGTGACCCATATGGCTTATAATCGCCTTCTGTATCCCTATAACATGTATAATCATGTACTATACTATTGTATATTCAATAAATTATTTGATAAGCAAAATAATTAAGGGTAAAAAAATAAGCATCAGTAATTTCTAAGAAATTTCTAATTAATACCCGGTTATGTAACATTTGTTATGAAGTTTGGATCATATAAGTTTCAGGCAGTAAATCTTTTTTGCCTATTCCTCAATTCAGCAACGTTAGGCAATTGACAAACAAACTGACACTTATAAAACTTCAAATGCTACGAATTATAAAGTTATTAATACAGATATACGTAATAAATGATTAAGAAACAAAAATAATAAAAAGTAAAAAAAAAAAGTTATGATAAATATTTTGTCATTATTAAAAAACATGTCAAGTACATCTTATTATATCACCAACTTTTGAATAATCCATACTTAAAGGTTCCAGGATATGCGTACAACCGGTGTAACTTAAAAATGTGTACAACCGGTGTAAATTAAAAAAGAAACGTCCCCTCACACAAAACCAATTATGGACAAAAATGTCTAATATATACACACACACAAACACACACACATACACAAACACATACAAACACAAGCAAACGAATATACATTACAATTCCGCATAGACAAACTAGAATTATGACACACGCACACAGATGAATCATTGTTAATTTTAAAGCCTCTAAAACGAAAGCACTCTATCAATCATCTTTTTGTCTTTGCATCAGCAGATATTTACTCAGCCCCCCACCCACGAGGCAGGTTATGACACAAGGTCATGTCTTTGCATCTGTATGGCCTATGCTAAATTCCAGGAGAGTGATTCAATGCGTCTTCTCAGGCTAATATTTTCTTCTGACAAGTGGAAAGATTATATTGAATCTATTGCTAGGTCTGCTGCTAGGAAACGTTGTTCACTGTATTGTACTAGACAATTTTACTCTCCAGAATCAGTTTTATATATTTATAAGTCTGCCATTCGTCCATGCTTAGAATATTGCTGCTACATATGATCTGGTGTTCCTGCTAGATATTTAGAAATTCTTGATAAAGAAGAATTTGCAATGTTATTGGTCCTGGCATCTCAGATTCAATCCCTTTGCCATCGCCGTAATAAATAATCAGTGTGCATTTTCCATAAACACATTCATGCTAATTTTTCTGATGAATTTTCCTCTATGGTACCTAGACTTTATGAATGTAAGCGCAATACTAGATTGGCTGCAAGGTTTCATTATTTTACAGTTGAAATGGTTAGACATAACTGTAAGTTCTATGCTAACGGCTTATTTTCTTGCACTTCCCGCTTGTGGAACACACTTCCGGTTTCTTGGTTCCCAGTTAACTTTGACCTTCAAAGATTTAAATGCAATTCCAATCGTTATCATCTGAATTCTTGTTCTTTTATTATTCTCTCTGCTTAATAGCATTTTTCTCATACTCTGAAACACTCAGTAACCCTTTGCGTCTTAGTGGTTTTATTACCTTGATTGGGGGTATGAATAGCATAAATATATATATATATATATATATATATATATATATATATATATATATATATATAAGAATAAGGTGTTCTATATCAGAGTGAAATGATGACTAAACTGTGCAATAATAATTACATTGCCAATGTACAACAACTCATCCAGAAATTGAAAAAAAAAATAATTAAAGAGACCTTGCTAGTAGAATTTAAAAAAACCATATTTCTTTCTTTCTTTCTTTCTATCACACTCTTTTCATAGCTATTGATCTATCATGTTTTTTCATATCTATCTATCTATCTATCTATCTATCTATCTATCTATCTATCATTTATAGTAAAAAAAACAACAACTTGAAATCCCATTAAAGATGGTAATGAATTTATTTCGGCAGATAATTTTTACCTGCCTCTTCAGACCGATACAATTGAATAAATAAATTCAGCCAGATAATTAAAAATAAATAAAAATAATACATTAAAAAATAAACCAGGCAAAACCGGATAAAAAAAAGAAAGAAAAGAAAAAAGAAAGGGTGTGGAAAAGGAAATAAGGAAAAAAGAATGAAATAAAGAAAAAAGATAAAAAAGAAGAAAAAAATTAAAAATAAACCAGAGTTAATATGACGCAAGAAATTATTCCTCGTGGGTTTACATAATTTAAGAGGGGGGGTAAGAGAGAGAGAGAGAGAGAGAGAGGGAGAAAGGAAGGAGAGAGAGAGAGAGAGAGAGAGAGAAAAGGAGAGAGAGAGAGAGAGAGAGAGAGAGAGAGGGAGAGAGAGAGAGAGAGAGAGAGGAGAAAGGAAGAGAGAGAGAGAAGAGAGAGAGAGAGAGAGAGAGAGAAAGGAAGAGAGAGAGAGAGAGAGAGAAAGGAAGAGAGAGAGAGAAGAGAGAGAAAGAGAGAGAGAGAGAGAAGAGAGAGAGAGAGAGAGAGAGAGAGAGAGAGAGAGAGAGAGAGAGAGAGAGAAAAGGAAGACAGATTCCATCTTAAATGAATTAAAGTTGTTATACCTTTAAATATCATCATAATCTTAATAGTAAAATAAAAAAAATTTCTATACACTTTATACGTTGAGCTCTCTTCTTGGATCTGGCTTTTTAATATTTCTATATTAAAAAGGCCTCCTTTGTTTGGATGAATCCTACCGCTTGTGCATTTTGTATATATATATATATATATATATATATATATATATATATATATAGCTAATATTACTGGTAAATCTACACATACATATGCAAAACATATAAATATATATACATAGGTGCATACATATACATGTATAAGCCTTTTTATTTATATATATATATATATATATATATATGTGTGTGTGTGTGTGTGTGTGTGTGTGTGTGTGTGCGAAGAAATTTTTGGAGATTTAGAGTAATCATATATAGTAATTCATCGAGCTCAGAATAATCTTCAACAGGATGCAGAAAGCATTGAATATGTGCTTTCTGCCTTCTGCATAAGTTCAGTGCTTTCTGCATTCTGTTGAATATTATTCTGGGCTCGATGAATTACTATATATATGTGTGTGTGTGTGTGTATGTGAATGTGTGTGTACGTGTGAGTGTTTGTGTGTGCATATAATGATGGTTAGATGCAAATACATGTAAATGTTTGGTTAGTGCCCATATACATTACTGGAAAAATCTGAGATTCCTGCATTTCTGAAAAAATCTTCTTAAAATGAGATTTTTAAAGCACGAGATAACATTTCAGTACCTACAGTGAATTTGCTTTTATTCTTTTGTCTTTCTCTAGGATTCTCTTATTACCAATGACTATTCATAATACATTTTGCTAAATTATGAATATTTTGTATTAGAAACATTATATTTTGTTTTCGCTACTAACCACTAAATAGATATTTTAATATTACCAAAACTTTGAACTAAGTTAATACAAGTTCCAAATGTTAACACAACACTGACGAGTGTTGTAGACAAAATATATCTAGCTGTCTCTGAAAAAAAAAAAGATTGGGCCATTACGACATTTTCATAGATTTTTTTATTTACTTTTTAATTTTGAAGTAAATGGCAAGATCAAAACAGAAAAACATTGGGGTGAGGACACAAACTGAAATTTTCTTTAAAGAAGGCTACTCTCAAAGACAAATTTCCAAGAAATTGAACTTTCTAGACATTGGATGAAATATTCGTTACTGTTGAAACTTGACTAATGCATGGAATAATAATGCAACACAAAATGTACTTAGAACAAAATGTATTGAAACAAGAAAGTGTACACAATATTTACATATAGTCTTTTGTATATTCCTGGTAAGACCGTTCCTGGAGAATGTGTTGACTGAGTCGCAGTCGGGCAGAGTCTCTGGTTGAATCTCTTGATTCCTACCTCTCTTCCCGGTACCAACCATATTTATATGGTCGGTACTCCACTATGCAAATTAGGTGGATCCTACCACAACAGTTACAAAGACAGTTAAAAACTGGTGCAAATGTTCACAGAAAAAGACATGCTATACTACCTGGTTTACGGATAATAGGAAAAATTCACCTAAAACACTGTCCTAAATTATGTCAAAATTACTCCGAGCGAAAAAAGAACAAAATTTTCGAAATAATGACTTGACTTCCTCAATCTCCTGACCTATCTCCCTTTCAAATCAGTATGGGATCAATTGGAAAAAAAGAATTTGAAGAGAATATCTAAAGTGTGAGCATAAAGAATGCTATGAAAGATATGCCATCTACTTTTCTTTTCAAAACGCAAAATATGATACTGTTGTATGATAAATTTGTTATAGCTAATTGCTTATTTTGTTGGTAAAAAAGCAAATACACTGTAGTTATTTAAATTTTATCTTTTACTTTAAAAAATCACAAAATATCTCATGGTAAGGTGTTTCTATAGAAATACAGGGAGGCCCAAACCTGTATATATATATATATATATATATATATATATATATATATATATATATATAAAAAATAATAATCACATAGAATCAATCAGCAATATTAATGCTATTATTGCTGATTGATACTATGCGTGATTATTTTTTGTATATAAATTATATGCTGCCTTATGTTTTATATATATATATATATATATATATATATATATATATATATATGTGTGTGTGTGTGTGTGTGTGTGTGTGTGTGTGTGTGTGACTGTGACTAAAACAACTACCAAAATATAAATCCTGGAGGTTTTCAAATATCTTTTTTCTAAAAGAAATACTCTTTTCCCAAGCCAACATACATGACTATAGTAATTTGAAAAAAAATTAAAATAAAATAATTAAATCAAAAGCTTCTATTGAATAAATAAATACAGAAATTAATTTTTCAAACTAAAATGCAATAAAAAAAAAAATTATTACACTAAAAAAAATTCAACAACAAAAACATTTACTAACTTTCGTTTATTAGGAATTAAATGATATTAAATTATATTCTCCATAGTTGACCTTGACTTTCCCTGGTTGTTTGAAGAATATGAGCGTTCTTAAATTTCAAAATGCTGAAAATCTAACGTTATTTTTACTTCTGTTTATAAATACTTGTAGCTAAATAAAGCCTGGATGGAACGCGTCGCAAAAGAAAAGTTTTCCTTTTGTCTTTATTCATATTGTCTTCTTTTACGAATATATTTTTTATTTATATCTGAATTTTTACACCTAAGTATGCATCCGTGAAGTTTTCCAGGTGTAATAACTATATATATATATATATATATATATATATATATATATATATATATATATATATATATATATATATCTGTATGTATATGTATGCAAAAATAAAAGTGAACATTGAAGTCAACATTCAGAGGCGACAGACTGTTTCATGGCAAACGCAATCGATTGCATTCACTTTTATATTTACATACGCTCTATCGCTTATATTGAGCACTTTATCCCATAAATATAGCATACGTTAAAACTATATTTCTTCATATATATTCTTATATATATATATATATATATATATATATATATATATGGGATTAAGCCTATCAAACTGGCCACTTAACTGAGTGATGTTATATTCAACATTATTACCGAGACGAACCTTTGTGTAATTGTTCGGTACACTCGTCAAGCGATTTCAGAAAATTTTAAGATTTTGTCAAGTTAAAAATAATGTAATGTATGTGCTGTTTATTGGTATTAGGTTGATTTTTCTTCTTTGTGTATGTGTGTATTTGCCCATGCGCAGGTGTATGTGCATGTGTGTACGCCTGTACGTGTGTTTATGGCTACATGCGTAGGATATTGTGGTTAATTTTCTTTTCATTCATTATTTTTTTTCTACTATATATACTATATATATATATATATATATATATATATAAATATAAATATAAAAGAACAGTAAGATATATAATCCGGTGTTCTTATAGATATTTTTATTTTTACAAAAACATATTTTTATTATTACAAAATAGTGCTCAATGTAAATTTACAGAGCATTAATATTATAAATTAATTGATTTAAAATATGTTTTTTTTTGCTACACAGTTCTAACGATGTTTCAAAAATGAAAGCTAAAAGCCCCGAATTTAATTTTGTAATTAAATTAAAGACATTAGTACCATTTCATCCTCAAGCGAATTTTTAGTTAGTTTTTTTTTTTATTTAATTTCGCTTGAGGATGAAATGGAGCATCTTTCCATTTAAAAAAAATAAATTTAAAACTCCAATTCCATTATTAAATAAGGTGAAGTTGATGGTAGGAAAGTGATGTTTGATATACAAGACCTTTCTTATAGCGCGATTTTTCTCCTACAAAACGGAAAAACCTAAGGATGGTGTAAAAAATTAAAAAGATTTTTTAATTAAACTTTCCTTTTCTTTAGTCTTAAATGAAAGCTGTTAAAATGAAAGGTTACTTCACAAATATACATTAATATATATATATATATATATATATATATATATATATATATATAATGGACTCTACCGTCGGTTTCGACGTATGAGGATCTGACAGCTTATTGATTCAGTTATGAAAGTTTGTGCGACAATCTTAAGTGGCATTTGAGACCCGCTAGTGATTTACAAAGGCGTCCACATATGGAGCAAGTGTGAGGATTGTGAGATGAAATCATTGTTAAATTGGCTGAGCTTTTAGATCTTGCTCTCAGATATATATATATATATATATATATATATATATATATATATATATATATGTACCGAGTGATTGAAAAGTGAAAAGTAACTTCTTATTTTTTACTTTTTTCTTTGGTGTTGATTAAATGTGCAAGTTTAATTTACCCAATCAACTCTTTGGAAGAACTTGAAGTGCGAATACAAGAAGTTATGTCTTCCATACCACAAGAGTTCCTGCTGAAATCAGTTGACACGTTTCCTTGATGGCTTGAGAAGTTGGTAGCGAAATCTAGTGCCATATCGAATTTTAAATTAAACCTCATGCTAAGCCCTTCCTTCTCATATCCATTTCTTCTAAAAATTACATTTAATAAATAAATTATAAGTATTTAAAAATGGAGAATTACTTTTCAATAACCCCGTATATGTATATATCTCTAATGATGCATATATATTAAATACATGAAAATTTATTTCATGTTTGTAAAATAAGACATATCTGCGAAAATTTTCAAACTTGTAATGAAATAAAGAATGATTTCTTAAGAAGAAATGTACGAGTAAATGTAAAAGTAACGAATAGACGAATGCTGCGTGTTTGTTCATTGTGGATAGGACACCATATTTGCTCGAGGAAAGTAGGCAAGATATAGTCAGGCGCGGGAAAAGAAGACAAAAGGAAGCGTTGTATGGTCTGGTATGTGGGGAATTACGACGACAATCAAGATTTGTGGACAACGGCAGCGGCGAAAGTTGTCTTTCAGCGGTGTCGGTGTTGGTTTTAGAGAACACTCTTAAGAGAAGGTTTTGGAAAACGATGTATTAAGGAAGTTCAGAAAAATATCCGAGGTTTGGTTTGGCGTTGAGGTGACGCCATATTGCTGTTGATGGTCACATCAAGTCGAGTGCGATTGATGGTGGGGTCATGGTTGTCCATTATGTCAGCCGTTTTGTAGCGGGGAATAGCGATGACGGTAATGCATAGCGCTTGTCTTGGTGAGATTTAGGGAGAGAAATTTGAGCAAACTGAAGAATAAGGACGAAGAAGAGGAAAGGAAAAATATGGGTCGGGTTGTAAAGGGGAGGTATGCAAGGATGATAAATTATGAAAGTTGGCTGGGAAAAGACGGGGGTGATGAGACAAAAAGAGAAAGAAAAACAGTTCAAGCAAGGATTAAAGAAGAAAAGAAAAAGTAAGTAATGTATAAAGAAAAAAGAAAAAATAAATGACGTAAAGAAAGAAAAATGAAAGAAAGGAACAGAGAAATGGAGAAAAGCGAACAAATGCAATAAAAAGAAGAAGCGAAGAAGAACGAAAGGAAAAAAATCGATAAAGCAAAGAACAAAGGAAGGAAAGGATGAAATGAAATTAAAATAAATTGAAAAAAAAAATAAATGCATGAAGTAAAGAAAGAAGGAAACGGATGAAGTAAAAAAAGGAAAGAAACACAAAATATGTGGCGTAAAGAAAGAAAGAAAGACGGAAACAAACAGACAAACAAAAAAGGTGGAGTAAAGAAAAAAGAGAGAGAGGGAGAAAGAAAGAAAAGAAAGAACGAAGCAGACAAACAAATACAAAATAGTGTAGTAAAGAAAAAAAGAAAGAAGGAAAGAAAGAAAGAATGAAAGAAAGAAAGAATGAAAGAAAGAAATGTAAAAACAAAATAAGTGAAAAAAGAAAGAAATAATTAAAAGAAAGAAAGAAAAAAACTGACAAAGACGAAATAGGTTTAGCACAGAAAGAAAGAAAGAATAAGAAAAAGATATGGATGAAGTAAAAAGAAACAAATAACAAAATAGCTGTAGTAAAAAAGAAAGAAGGAAAGTAAGGATTGGTCGAAGTAAAAAGAAAGAAACAAACAAAATGTTTGGAATAAAGAAAGAAAGAAAGAAACAAACAGAAAATAGGTCTAATAAAGAAAGACAAAAATGAAAGAAAAATGGATGAAGTAAAAACAAAGAAAGAAAAAAGAAAATAGGTGTAGTGGCGAAAGAAAGAACGAAAGAAAGAAATAGTTGAAGTAAAAATAAATAAATAAAGAAACAAAATGTAAGGAAGAAGGAAAGAAAGAAACAAGCAAAACAGGTGGAGTAAAAAAAAGTAAGAAAGAAGGAAAGAAAGAAAGAAACAAACAAACAAACAAACAACAAAATTAGTGTGGTAAAAAAGAAAGAACAAAAATTAGAAACGGTCGAAGTAAAAAGAAAGAAAGAAAGAAACAAAATGTTTGGAAGAAAGAAAGAAAGAAAGAAAGAAAGAAAGAAAGAAAGAAAGAAAGAAAGAAAAAAGAAAGAAAGAAAGAAAGAAAGAAAGAAAGAAAGAAAGAAAAAGATTTCTTTCTTTATATAAGCTAAGATAGAGGCCGCTTTTTGGTTTTAATGAAAATAAGAAAGCATACATAATAGAAGGAAAGAAAGAAAGAAAGAAAAAAAGAAAGAAAGAAAGAAAGAAAAAGATTTCTTTCTTTATATAAGCTAAGATAGAGGCCGCTTTTTGGTTTTAATGAAAATAAGAAAGCATACATAATAGAAAGAAAGAAAGAAAGAAAGAAAGAATGTAACAGACAAACACCCATAAAATAAGTGTAATAAAGAAAGACAAAAGTGAAAGAAAAATGGATGAAGTAAAAAAAAGAAAGAAAAAAAGAAAAAGGAAAAACAACAACAGATAAACACAAAATAGGTGTAATAAAGAAAGAACGAAAAAAAGAAATGGATGAAGTAAAAAGAAAGAAGCAACCAAAACAGAAAGCAAAAAAAAAAAAAAAGAAAAAGAAAAAGAGAGACTAATAAGCAAATATAAATTTAGTGTAGAAAGAAAGAACGAAATTGAGAAATGGGATGAAGTAAAAAGAAAGAAACAAAATAGGTCGCGTAAAGAAAGAAAAAGGTTGAATAAATAAGAAAGAAAGGAAAAAAGATAAAGACAAGATATAAAGAGAAAGACAAAAAAGAAGAAATAAAGAAAGTTACGTGTAAGAATTTTAATAGAACTGTACATGAATTGTTTTCTCCATTGAGACCACTAGTCGGTATTCGAGGGAAATAATAAAAATAAATAAATTTTCAAAGCTTGTAGTCATGTCCTTTCCATTTGAAAGACTGACGCAACACAATCATACTACCTCAGCCCAGTTTAATTTAACATACTAAGCAAACTTAGCGAACGTTAAGTTGAAAAATTACCAGCACTTTGGAAATTTTAACTGAAACACTCATTATGATAGGGTACCTGCCGTAGTGCCAAAAAAGTGAGTTAGATTCTCTCTGTGTGTTGTAGTTGAGCAGCATTCCACTAGACGCGACCAAAGCTTAAGAAATAATCTATTTAGTGGTTGAAAGGGTTGCGAATTTCCTGTCACACGTCTACTATTTGCCGTGTCCCGTCAGGACGTGGGCGATCATGGATGTCCACAATTTCCTATCTCTTGTAGCTGTGAATAATGTTTTTTTGTTGCCTATTTACCATCCAGTCCCCATTCCGTCCCATTAGGTGGCCAAATAGGTAGCCTACTGCCTCTCTCTGTCGGTTTTGCTCTCAATATGTTCTGTGAGTGTTAGATTCTCCAAGCCTTCTTTCCTCATTATGTGTCCAAGAGATTTCATCTGTATCCGTTTTTTGTTACAATTTTCCTTAGGGCTTCTCCGTCGTTACGCTCTGTGCCTGCGGTATTCCCATCATCCTTCTGTAGATTGCTGCCTCCGTTCTTCTCTTCATTTGTAAGGAGATTGCCCAACATTCACTGCCATATAGGAGGACTGATATCATATACCAATTTAACAGTCTTCTTACCTCATTTGAGGTATTTCAGGCGTTTCCATGTTTTGACTATTATAGGTTTACCTCTATAGTTGTGAAAGAGTTCTAATCAACAATCTGAAACGAAGTTATAATACTATCTAAAAATGAAGTAAGAAGACCGAGTTGCGCCATTTGTTCAAGTTGGGTGAGCCAGCTTGCTTACCCACCTAAAAAATCAACATTAATAATCTTGGATTTTTATCTAGGCTTAAATACTGATCGCTAGTGGCTGGGATAAGTAGTAAAGTAAGAAAGAACTAATTATCGATTGAAAGAAGACAGAATACATGATCGTTAGCAAGAGTAAAAGCCTAAGACGTGAATTAAGAATTGGAAATGACAAAAATCAAATAAGTACCAAAGCTTAGATATCTGAGAAATGTTTTAACCTGGGATGGAAAATGTCATACAGATATCCGAAGAATGCACTGGAATGGCAAAAGATGCATTACAAAAGATAAGCCTAATCGAAAGAAACAGAAAAACAATTTTTTTTTAAAGCATTTCACCCCAAGCAAGGCGGGAGTGCCACTAGCACGCAAAGGGTTACAGACAGTGAGAGCAAGAGTAAAGAGGGGTGATTGAGGAAAGAATAAAGAGGAGGACAGTGGTCAAGGTCAAGGCATCAGATGTCGATTGATATTACATTTGAATATTTGAAGATTATAGCTATCAGGGAAGCGTTCCACTGTTGGGAAGAGCGAGAGAAGAAGCTGTTGGAGTAGAAGAATAGGTTGCATTTAACTGATCCGACAGTGAAAGGGGTGGGACCGAGATACCCACCTAGTAGCACTCTTAAATTCCTGCAGTTTGGGTACCAGTGAGAGATTGAGAATAAGAGTAAAGTGGAGTGTTTGAGAAAAGGATAAAGAGAAGAATGGGGGATCAAGGTCAAAGCATCAGAAGGTGTCGATTGACATTACATTTGAATATTTGAAGATTCTACCTAAAACGGGAAGCAAGTAAGAGGAAGGGAGTTCTGTTGTCAGGAAGTGCGAGAGAAGAAGCAGTTGGAGTAGAAGAGAAATTACATTTAACTGATTTGACAGTCAAATGGTGGGACTGAAATGACAACTTAGTAGCAGGCTTAAATTCATGCAAATGGGGCACCAGTGAAAGTAGCTGGTCAGAGCAGTTGCCATGAAAATATTTGTAGAAAAGACAGAGGGAAGCCACATTATGTCTGTGAGAAAGTGACTGGAGTCGAGATGCCAGGTAAAGACCTATTATATTGCATATCCGTCTCTGGATTTTGTCGAGAACCTCGAGATGAACAGCGGCGGCACCAGACCATATATGACAAAAGTATTCAATGGAAGGACGAATGGTAGATTTGTAGATCTGAAGGATGGACTCAGATGAGTAAAACCTTCTGGCACGACACAGAGAATCAGCTTTCCTTGCGGTAGATGTAGCTATTGATTCACTTTAGCTGTTCTACCTCAGGTCAGTGGAAAACGTGAGACCAAGTGGAGTTGATCATCAACCATGCTGATAGGAGAGAGGGAGGATTCTCATAGAGAACCAACTTTTGAAGAGAAGAGTGGCGGTAACAATAGTTTGAAAAAAGATCGGAATTCATCATTATGAACAAGAACAAAGTGGCGAGATCAGATGGTATTTGTAAGAGATGTAATCAGCTTGAGGCGATTTCAGGTTTGGTTTGGTTTGTTTTGTTTTACGACATATCAACCTAAATGGGTTATTTAATGCCGTCATTTTTTTTTTATTGCTGGTAATATTTTGTTTTTTCAAAAATCTGTTTCTCGTAATATTTTTCCTTCAAAATTGTATTGCTGGTAATAATTAACTATTTGCGCATAGCTGGGACCCTAAGAGGTGCTGCCACTCCGGGTCACGGTGGACCTGGGAACACCAGCAATTAAGAGGTGGTTCCACGCTCCTCAAAACCTCCTGATCAGGGGCCTCGCTGTTGGGCGTAGTTTATCGTCTTATCCAGGACACGGATGTAGTTCAACGTCTTACTCAGGACGGGAGACGATTTCAGGATCGACAAGATTAAGGCAATAATAAATGAAATATACGACATATTGGAAGACCTTTTCAGATCCATTTTCACGGCGCTGCCGAAGAACCTAATTACAAAATGAATGTGAGCCCCATCGGGCAGTAAGCTTAATGAGCCACAAAATGAAGCCTATTATTCGTATTCTGAGGAAAAGATCGCGTAGATAAATTATAGAGGAAATAGGACAAAAAATGTGTGTCACCGTTACAGACACTGGAACAAGAAATGTGGTATTTATGATCAAAATTATTTCAGAAAAATCAATAGAAATGCAAAAGAAAGTTTACCTATACTTCATCTAATAAAGTACGACACAAAAGAATATTTGAACTATTTTAGAAAGATATTAGTACAACCTAGAACTTCTGTGTCTGTCTATATTCCTGAGATGAGGTATTATGTACACTATTTACATTATTCGGAATACTGTCCTCATCTTTGTCCCCATTTTTATTACAACGTTTCGGCCGTTGTACGCTTCGGCCTTCTTCAGGTGGTTGGAATGTCGAACTGAACACTTTATTTCGCTTACTGGGGTAGACTTTTCTAGTTTCATGTGCCATGTTTAATGAATGTCAGTTATCAGTTATTTCCTGTTAATTCCACTCTCCAAGTTCTCCCCTGCCTTAACTGGGTATTGAACTCACACTCTTTGGGTCCTGTCACTCGATCTAATCAATGTATCAATATGGTGATTTGCTTTCGTCTTTCAATGATAAGCTTATCATGAAAGGAACTTACTTAAAATAAATAGACAAAACTTGTCTATATTATTTAATGAAACATGCATCAATGAAAAATTGCTGCCTAAATATACACAATTTAAATTATATATATATATATATATATATATATATATATATATATATATATATATATATTATGATATATGGCTTACTTTGTTCTTGATACCATTAGTTTTATTTAGTTTAGCAATATTATTATCCATTACGCTCTTGATTTTTGGAAAAAAATAGAGTCCCCCGCCCCAGATTGTCCAAACAAATTTTTTTTTGTTTACTTACGTTTTCAAGACCAGCGTCTCTGTAATTTAGAATTTATATTTCTTATTTCCAACCTTATTTTCAATTTTATATAATAATATGGTCTTAAATTCAAATTCAAATTCAAAATTAAACTACATTTCATCTAAATATTTTAACTCCAATAATATTCCACCCCAACAATAAATATCTCGCTTGAAGCAGAAAATTACAAAAAAATTAAACAAAAAAAAAAAAACAAAACCAGGTGTTAACCCGAAATATAAGTAAAAATAAATATAATAATTCCAGCACTTGAAAATTTCTGCGGCATGAAACTCAGAGTTGCGCATTTAATGTAGAATATATATATATATATATATATATATATATATATATATATATATATATATAAAGAAAAAGAAAGAACAGCAAGATATATAATCTGGTGTTCTTATAGATATTTTTATTTTTACAAAATAGTGCTCAATGTTTACAGAGCCAAAATTGCTTGAGGATGAAATGGAACTAAAATCTTTAATTTGATCACAAAATTAAATTCGTGGCTTTTAGCTTCCATTTTTGAAACATGGCTAGAACTGTGTAGCGAAAAAAACATATTTTAAATCAATTAATTTTAATATATATATATATATATATATATATATATATATATATATATATATGTTTGTTTGGAGGTACAAAATTTATAAATAGTTTTAAAAACAAGGAATGCATTGATTTTAATTTTAAAAATTTTGA